AATAACTTCAGTGTCCACCAAAAGGGGACTAATTAAGTATGGAATATTTGCACTATGGAGTTGTATGCAATGACAGAAAAAAAAAGGACGATCCCTGTGATTATCTGGAAAAATCTGTAGGACAGGTTGGGTAAATATGTAATGTATGGAGAATGGACTGTTCATAAGAAAGAGAGAAATAAATATATTTATACTCAGTTTCTTGTATCTGAATAGAGAACAATCTGGATGGATTCAAGGATAGTGAAGAAGTATAATGATCAGGGACAAGGGAGGGTTGTGAAACTTTCCAGGAGGGTATTTAATTTTTGAACTTGCAAATTATTTCCTATTTAAAATTAAAAATAAATTAATTAGATGCACATTCTCAGTATCTGACAATCACACACCAAGAACTTATCCTACAAATATTTTCTCACTCATACTCAAAGATACTTGCACAGATATTTCTGCAACATTATTTCAACAGCAAAAAATTGGAAATGACCTAAATGTCTATCAAATGTAGACTGGGTAAATGAATTAAGTTACATTCATGTAGTGAAATATTTTGCAGATATTACAAAGACTGTGAAACACATATTGAAATAAAAAGCTCTCAAAGATAAAATAAGTAAAAATATGTAAGATTAAAAAAATTACAGTCTCACTTTTGATTAAATATGATGCATTCATGGTGCAGCAGACCTCTCCTGACTCGCCCGCTGCTCCCCTCAACAGTGTGTTTCAGTTGATCTGCCTGTTCTGTTTCACATTCTGTCTCTGGTGAATCTTCTTACCCTCCCACACCTCTGGACTGTACCCCAGTTCTTGTATGCAAAAATAAATAAATATTTAAAAAATGTGATGCATTCATATACACCCATGTAAACTGTGTTATAATTTATAAAGAATATGCATGTACAATGTGATGTTGTGTGTCTCTGTTACACATGGAAATCTTCTGGAAGTAAATACAAGAAGTGGTTAATTGTGGTGACCTTTGGAAAGGGGACAGTAGTGTTTGGGGTGGGAAAGGGACCTACTTTTCATTGTAGTGACCTTTGATCTGTATGACTTTCATTCACTGTGGTATGGTTTTTTTCAATTAGATTATTTACAAATAATTTAACAAATAAAGGTGCAGCCAAACAATGAAAAATGTGCACCTATAATCCAAATAAAACAGTTGAGGAAAGGCTTTATTAACTTCTACAGAACAATTTTCAAGATACTTGGTTAAGCAATTTATATTTTTATTCCTAGCTGTTGTAGGGTTGCATGTATCATTTCTTACCCTACTACCACTTTACCTGGTGATCAACTCATAATGCTTTCCATTACTTTAAGTTTGATCATATTGCATCTCTACATTTCAGATTAACTGATTGTATTTTATTCTCTCCTTTTTGCCATTAGGACTTAACATCCGTCTTTTGGGTTAAAATCCTAGCTCCTAGTGGCTTATAAACATGAGCAGATGCTTCACTGCTGGGGCCTAAGATTACCATTCTGTAAAGGAAAAATAGAACACATTATGGGAATGTTGTAAGAATTTTGGGTAATGCAGACATATGAAGGCAAGCATTCTCTTGGTGACTCTTACTACCATTAATACTTTTGTGACAGGACAATTGGAGTTGTAGCCAGGAGGGACCACATCCTGGCTGGACACCAGAAAAGGCAGGTGTTATGTTTCATGGGCAAGGCTGTTCCAGAGAAAACCCAACATTTGGCTGTTCTTTGGGGCCATAATAACCTTGAACCAGTAATTCAAAGACTCATTATTCTGTGGGAGCAATGTAGATTGGGTTCTTACCTGCACGGAGCATGTTACACCCCTCTTAGGGAAGCCAATTCCTATCTTTTAACCATGAATTTTATCTAATGTTTTCCCCCTCAGGATGCCTCTCTTGCCATCTGTTGCCTCAGTCCATTTAGGTATATTTATGATATATGAGAGCATCTTTCAAAAGAGGAAGTGAGGACATCCATGTCGTTTTTCTTCATTTTCACAAAGTTAAAAAAGGAAGAAAAGAGAAAAACTGCCTCTCTATATTCACTCCATTCCATCTCCCAGTGTAGTTCTGGGTCAAGTGGTCTCACTGATTATCTAGTTGGCTTTCTGCCTTGATGCATTTATAGGGTCTTTTATTATTGACTTTGGAACTCCTTATAAAGCACTCCCAAAAAGCATTTTAAAATAGTCTCTAGTGTGCAATTTACATTTTAACTGCTCCTTTCATTACCCCCCTCAACACCCTCATATAGTTCCCTTTTCTAGAATTAAATAACCACATGATAGCTTTGGGGCTCCATGTCTCTTTTAGATGTTGAACTTGGCCCTGTTGTGGTCTTTATTATGTGGTGGTTCAGTTGGAGTCCCATGCTCTTTCACATTCATCACCTTTATCCTGGTTTTTGTTTTCAGGTTACATGGCATCTTGATAAATTAAGGGCCAGATAATTAGTGCCATCTTGGTTTGATTACTAGAGAATCCCTGTGATAATCACTGACACTGTCATACATGCTCAAAGGAGTTGTGATGCAGGAGATGTATGAGAATGGGGAGGGGGCAAAAGCAAAGATTGAAGACCACCATTTTCCAAAAGTCCTTTGGTTGCAGGTGAATGTAGTCTTCTTTGCCCATTAATGAATCCAGGATTTATAAAGATGTGCCTGTATCTTGAATCTTAAATTGGAGGCCACTGTTCATTGGAGACCCTAGAAATACAAATCTGAATTTCATATTCTCTTCCTTCACTTTCCTGTCATGTATACACAAATCCCAGTGCAAGGCCTGCCAACTCATTTTTCTCTCCACTTTATTCGCATTCATCTTCCCTAAGGGCAGGCCTGACTTTACTCCAAAGGTCAAAAGTTCCATGAATTGTGAAAATTTGTGGTAGATGTTTCTGGTAGAAAAGAGTCCTTCACAAGTCTAATATTAATGTTTCCAAAGCTGTTAGTCAGAGAGCACTACCACCAGACATGCACCCTTAGGGAAAATGAGATCCAAAAAGGGGGTTTGCTCAAGGCCACATAGCAAATTAGTGAGGGGTATAGGATTTGAATTCTGATCTTGAGCTTTCTTCCTCTCCAGTCTGATACTCCATGTCTTTTCCTACAGGATAAAACTGACTGGCTACTTGGGGATCTTAGCTACTTAGCTACCATAAAAATAAAGAGGGCCTCCCTAGTGGTGCAGGCAGTTGAGCGCTGCACTGTGAAGCTGTCCACAGCCTCTGCAGTGCAGGTTCAATCCCGGCCGGCTGCGGAGAAACCCACGTGGCGCAGCAGACCTCTCCTGTCTCGCCTGCTGCTCAGCAGTGTATTTCATCAGTATGCCTGTTCTGTTCCCTGCTCTGTCTCTGGTGAATCCTCTTACCCTCCCACACATCTGGCCTGTACCCCGGTTCTTGTATAAATAAATAAATCTTTAAAAAATGAATGAATGAATGAATGAATGAATAAACTTCACTTTTTGGGAGATTATCTAAAACAGGATTCAGTTCTCTTCAATGTCAGACATAGTCATTGCCACTTGGATGATCCTTGATTTCTCCACAGCACAGAAGCAGAGATCAGGTTTCCTATGCTCCCAGCCCTTGGTAATCTGTAGAGCAGATTTTCTGCACTCAAGCAATGGAAACGTGGGATGCTTCTTAGGTGAACAACCTGAAGAGCTAAGCAGCTATTAACAACAATCATGGATAACACACCACTTAGGATGCCACTCATAATAATAAACAGTCAAAAAACACTCCCAAACAAGCCAGTAATACAGAATTAGAATGGGAGTCAGGGTTTACCAATCCAGCAGTTTAGCAATCCCACCAGGACCCCGGCACTCTGTGCTCTTGCTACATACTACACTGGCAGTACACTGGCCCAGCCCTCATGGTCTCTAGAGGGTGGCCGCACTTCTGGGCCTCCCCCCAACCTCCCACTGCCCCCCGACCCACCCCGCACACACAGAGGCAGAGCCAGAGTCACCAAATTAAGGAGTGACTTTCTCAAGAACAAGGGGGTCTTTCTCAGTGGTTCCTGAACGAATTTCCCCTCACAGTCCTGGGTATAGCTTGGTCAGGAGCCCACACTGAAACCAGCCATGTCAAGGGAGCAATATGCACGCTATAGAGGCCCTCGTCAGGTGTTAGTGTTGGCTTCAGGTGAAATTTACGGAACCTTGTGGACCTTAATCCAGAGCCAGTGATGTGTTACTAATGCCAGGAATTTCAAGCTAGGAATCCAGGTAGGGTGAGCCACCAAGGGCCAAAAGACAGCTCTGGGTGCAAGTAGACTAGTATTTTAAGGTATTACTTCAGTCACATCTGGACTTTTCCACTGACCTAGCTAGCCCCAGGTATGACAATACAGATAGGAAATTGAAACAAGAAACATGAAGAAGCATGTTTCTCATTTTTTTCTTTGTAATCTAACCCATGTACTATGAAAGAATTTTTAGCCTTGGTAAAATATAAATCAGCTTTTAGATGGTTGGATCACTAGTTGTTTGCTTTCCCTTCTCTTCCTTCTCCTTTTCTTTGTATATGCTTTTGATTTTAAAGAGAAATGAATGTGTTTGCTTTTATAAACGGGGCAATAAGATAATCTGTATTGGGGGAAAAAAACGTATTTTACACTTGTCTTTGAAAACAACATAGGACGGGGCCTCCCTGGTGGCGCAAGGGGTTAAGCATCGCACTATGAAGCAATCCGCAGCTACTGCAGCACGAGTTCGATCCCCAAGTTCGATCCCTGAGTTCGATCCCCAGCCGGCCAGGAAGCAACCCACATGGCACAGCAGACCTCTCCTGCCTCGCCAGCTGCTCCCCTCAGCAGTGTGTTTCAGTCAGTCAGCCTGTTCTGCTCCCCACTCTGTCTCTGGTGAATCCTCTCACCCCCCACATCTCTGGCCTGTGCCCCAGCTCTTGTATGCATAAATAAATAAATTAAAAAAAAAATAAAACAACAAAAGAAATCCCCACCACAAATAAGAAGTCTGGTGTTCTGTTTTGTAATATTTGAAAATAAACCAACTTTATTTGAATCAGGCAATACCAATCAAGACTGGGAAACAAATTTATAACTGGTTCAGATTCATGAGGAAAACACTCAGCAATATGTTCATTAAAAGTCATTTTACATTTATTAAGGCTTGAAAGCAAGTCCTGTTATTTTAGCAACACAGTTAAAGGTCGTGAGAAAATCAAGTAACCGTCATTTGGAGTGTCTCGATAAAAGGAAGTGTTTGTTCTTTCATCAAAGCTAGGCATCGTTTGCTAAATTAGTTAACTCCCCAGCTCATAAAAGGGACAATCAGGTGGTCATGAAAATAAAGAAAATTCAAATAGCAGTTGGGTATTTTATATTTTAAAAGTATGCATAGTTAATAGTGTGAAATCTTTATTTATACATTAAAAAACCTTAGATGATTGGAACCTAAAATTGTATTTTACCAAAAAAAGCCAGATTGCTTTTGTTGAAGCACAGTTTATTCCAAACTGTATCACGCACGAGACAATGTTTCATTGGATTATTGGTTGAGGAGGGAAGTATGGATCCATTTTCCTAAGTAACATTAAGTAAAATTACGCACATCTGGGACCATACTTAATTACAAAATCAGAGTATTCTGAAGCTAAGCTGGGAGGAAAGTATGAAGAAAGAGAGAGGACTATGGCTTCCTTTGGAGAGCACACATGGTTTGGTTTGGGTGCTGAAGAGCAGTGGCTTGGAGACAATGGGTCTAGGGGGCAAGAAGGGCCCCAAGATCAATTGCGATCACTTCATCTCTTCTCCTAACATCAGAACTGGGATGCCTCACAAGCTCTCTTCTTTCTCTAAGACTTAAGATTCTTTTTTAATATCATCTAAAAATTAAGGAAGTGATCACTTAGGAACTTAAATATATTTAATCTTTACAAGGAGGAGACCCCAGCATCTTGATACACTCTGCTTTTGAAATGACTCCCGACCAGTAAGGAGAGGGGTCAGCACAGACATGCCTGGAGAGTTGCTGCCCCTAGACCCATTTCACTGTAGACACAGACTCTCGCTGTTTTCTCTTGGTGGAAGATTTTTACTAGGGAGACCTGCACCTTCCTGACTCAGCGTCCCTTTAATTTAGACCTTTAGATCTCTAAGGTCTATTCCAGGTGTGAACCCTTGTGCGACCATTCTAAGATGCTTGGAATTGTCTGTCTGTCTCCTGCTGCTGCGGAGTGTCCACTGAACACAGGCACTGTGCACAGCTTCTGTTGTTTTGTTTTACAAATGCTCGAAAATTAGATCCCGGAAACCTTGCTGATGGTGTTACCTTTTTCTAATGAAAAGATCAAGATTCCCTCTGGTTCCACCAGCAGTGGATGTGAGCTATGTGGATGGAGCCATTTCCTAGGAAGCTGAAATTGGTCTGAGATCTTGTGACCAAATAAATAAACTGATGGAGTGTGATTTTCACTTTCCAACTCAGGAGTCTGGTGCCAGGTAGCGAGCTGAATCCATGCCCAAGCTGGGAGGTAGCTGGTGCTGAGTGGATGGCAAATTCAATGTAGTCATTCTGACTTGACTTTTGTTTCTGCCTCTGCCTGCTAGGCTACCCCACACAAAAAAAGTAGTGATGTGAAAGTCAAAGGATAGACATGAAGAAGGATCTCAACTCAAAGAAATCACCTTTCTATGCCACCGGTGTTTTCTGAAGCATTAATAATAATTCAAGGCCAATGACAAGGGTTATCTCCTATCTTATAATTCTGGAGTGTAGTGTCAAACATTCCCTCAGTTGGTTCTTGGGACACCCAAGGATCTCACTCTATTGTTGCTGGGAGATGATTTGTATATGACAAAGTGATAGCCATAGCTCAGCCACAGCTGAGGGTCTGAAGAAAAATCTCTTTTGGGAAAAAAAAAATCAGAAAAAAATATTATTTAAGAATACTCTGATAAATCTGGTCTTGAGACATTAAAGCTCTAAGTCAATAGTCGGTTGCATTATATGATAATCTACTGTTGAAATAAAAAGTACCTTCTCTCTCTAACTCCTCCCCTTCTTTTAAGTGGTGATAATTGATCAGAAAACTGCCCCACCCCACCCCCGTGCCTTACTATTGTTACTTTGATAAAACTGACTCAACCACAGAAGGAAAATCTAGAAACAACAAAACTGACTGGGTTTGTCATGTTTGTCTTTAAATAAGGACTGATTAAAAAAAAAAATAAAATAAGGACTGATTGCTGAGTTCTGAATATCAACTCGGGGTCTTTAGCCTCTGGGTAGAGTTGCCCCACCTGGGCATCCTTCTTTTTTTCTGGAGGCCTGGGGGAGTAGGGGTCAGAGGGGAATGAGAAGAGTCGGGGTTTGGGGTGGGTGGGGATGTTTGTGCTTCACAGACTTGCTTCAAGAACAATGCCCCCATGGGTCTCAGGAAAGTAAACTGCCTCTTACTTAGGCCATCTGACCTGTGCTGCTAGGGTCAGGGCAGGATTTCTGAGTACAATAGGCTTTCACACCAATTAAAAGGCCTTCGGGATCATTCAAGCTTTTGTCTCCCAGAAGGCCGATTGGGGGCTTTTTCCTACAGTAAAAAAGGACTGGTTCCTCCCCACTTCTCCTTTACAAACAAGTCCAAGGACAGAAATTCTAGGGATACTGTGGAAAGGTTCCTGTAGAAGAGGAAGTCAATCAACTCTTTCTGCCTTGTTCAAACTCCTGGGCTCATAAAACATCCTCCTGAGAAATTTCCCTTCCTTAGTGATGGAGGAGACCTCCTGTTTTCCCTCTGTTCTGATCAGTGGGTCACTTTTTTTCCTTAGAGATTCCCAGAGGCAGGTGGACCCAGGGTTAGACTTTGGGTTGAAATTTACTGATGTTTCCATGGAAAAGACCCATACTGTCTGGTCCTCACTGAGAAATGAGTCAAGTTCTGGGGCCTTCCGGCAACTGGGGCCTTACCCACAACTAGCAAGTGACATAGAAGGGGTATTATTAAAGGTGGTGGGTGACTTTTCTCACAGGCCTTCACTGCGGGAGGAAGCTGACGATTACTTCATGTTTCTTGGTTCCCCATACACAGGTCCCCATGCTCAAGCCGGATAAGTTTTTAAGGAGGTGAAACTCAAAGTGAATGACTAAGGAGCAAAATACTAGCTAAAACTTATTTTACCCTTTGCTTTTTCCTGGCAGTTGAGTCAGATGACAGGAAAATTAACCCAGATGGTATATATTTTTCATGGAGTTCAAATCACATGGTTTCCCAGTCAGAAAGGCCCATGGGCTTTCTTCCTAAGGTCTGCCATGATCCTGTCTCCTCTTGAATGCATCGCTCACCCACCAGAGATCAAAGCGGACTCAGCCAGTAGCAGTAGCCTGAAAGCACCAGCCAGCTGACCAGCCTCTACGAGCAACTTGAAGAGAGTGGAGAATGATTTTTGACCAATTGTTGGGGTTTTGCCTTAAGTTTGGTAGTTCCATGACATCACCAATTCAAGACATAGTTGGATCATGAGAGAGAAGACTCACCAAAAGATTCCCAGGGAATATCGAGCCTCCTTTATCTTCACCCATCCCTCCACCTCCCACTCCCATCTGCTTTCTCACAGAACAGAATTCACTCATGAATAAACAATCTAACCCAGGCGTGCAATCTCCAAGGAAACAACTACCCATAAGCAAGCAATCCCATGACTGGTAGACCCCCGTGGGCCTTTTGGCATCGACACTGTTCCCCCTCCCCACCCCTTCTAGTCACCCAGTTTGCAACTACATGCCAAATTCCTCTCCTGGAGAGGCCTGAACAGCATAAAAACAGAGGTCAGCCACAGCCAGGTGCGTGATGGTGTGAAACATTCACAGCATGTGGTCGAGGAGATGGTGTCTTAGAGGCTTTCCAACGTGGCCAGGGGGTCCCAGAACAGGAGTGTGAGAAGAGTAAGCTGCCGAGAGCTTATTTGCCGGATGCCAATCCCACAGCCTGCTCCATCCTCCTCTGTTCACTCACTCCAGCTCTCCTAACACAGCAGCAGGTTTCTTTCCACTAAGAACTTAGATTGTTCTCTTGTGGGCCTGGGAGTTACTGCCAAAGAGGAAGGTGGAAGAGGACACAGTGTTGCATGTCTCTGGTGTGTCTGAGGTGTGGTTTTGATATTGGCAGAAGGGGACTGCCCCCCAAATACACTGAACCCAGACAGGGTCCGAAGGCTGAGAGCTTGACGGTCTATCATTTCTGCAGGTGGGTTCCTGCATGATCAGATGGGGACGGTGCTGACCTTCGAAGAAGATAGCAGCCTCGAGTTCTGATGATGTCAGCAAGATGCGGTCTGATTAAAAAGAAGTTTCCCGAGGCAATGTGGAAGAGGAGTCTGTGAAGCCGGGATCTTTTGGGAGAGGTTGAGTCCCGCAGCAGCAGTGGGGCAAGATGGCTGTGCTCAGGCTCGGCTGAGGCGCTTGGCGACATCCGCATAGGCCAACTCAATCTCCTGGTCAGCTGCACAGGTGTTGGTGAACTCGTCGCGGGCGTAGGCATTCTTGAGGTACCGCCACAAGCCTGTCATCTCAGCTGGGAAATCATAGTTGCGATATTTCTTGGCCACAATCTACAACAGAGATAGCAGGACCGAGAGGGCATGAGGGCATACAACACATCAGCAAGACATCAGGGGCATGACCTCATGTGTATGCACAGCAGGACACCCCTCAAGGTCTCACACCCAGACATCAGTCAGTATTTTTTAATGTCAGGTGGCAGTGCTGCCGACTTTATATTTTATATATATTCTAAAATATTTATACATAGGTATTTTAAGAAGGGAAGGAAAGTATATGGTATTAACAAGAAATTACTTTCATTACAGTACCAGAAAATTCATTATTCTCAGCTCACTTCAGGTACAGTGGGCACTACAGACATCGAGAGCCCCCAGCTTGTCCCCAGGCAAGGCGGAAGCGCCCAGGCCCATGTTGCACTGAATGAAGCAGGATCACAGTAAAAGACAAGAGTTATAACGAAGACTTTGAAAGTACAGTTTCCTTAAAAATGCTAACATTTTTCTTCCTTTTTTTCATGTTTACCTTATTATGACCAAGTCTAACTGGTATTTGATAGCATTTTATACTTAATAAATAAAATTGACACTTTGATCTAATGATTCTGCTTCTAGGGACTTTTCCTTAGAAAATAATGATGGATGTCCACGAGATTTTGCTACACAAGCATGATCACAGTACTATTTGGAAGAGCAAAACATGGGACAGAACACAAACGTCCAAGAACAGAAAAATACATTATCCTGTGTGGCTACAGCTGCACACTGGAGTCCATCAAAATGATCCTGTGATCTGGAAAATCACAGTGATCTGGAGAAAATCCAGTGATCTGCAAAATTCTTCAAGATTGTTCAGTTGAAAATAAAGTATGACAAATTTTGGAGAATTTGTATATATGATGGCCAGAAGTATATATGCCAATATATCACCACTGCTTATGTCTGATGGATAGAATTAGAGACAATGCTTTTCTTTTTTCCCTTACCCACTTTACAGAAGCATCCTTTTTATAAAGGGGGCAAAACACAAATGGTGAGTTAGCCATTGGAATGAATACATAGATTGAGGGTATGATAGAAAGTGAATAGTGATTTCTATTCTCTCCCCAGTTTGCCACACTTGGGGGTTGTGGACTTGAGTGTTCTGGAGAAGTGGAGAAATAGTAGCATAGTGGTTAAAAGCATGGGTTCTTGATTCCAATGGAGCTGTTCCATAGTCTTTGATGCCATGTAATAGCTGTGTGACCTTGGACTACTTCCTTAACCTCTCTGAGTCCCAATTTCTTTATCTCTAGCATAGAGGTGTTAATAAGACCTATCTAGAGTACTAAATTAGTTAACACACTATGCTTAGAGAGTCATGAGGCACAGACTAAATGTTCAATAAATATTACCTATTATTATAATTTATTGAGACCCAGCTTTTGCCCATTTGCCGGCATTCCTAGGTAAAGACAGGGTAGTCTCTTTAATAAAATCTCTCTAGCCTTCACGGGTGGTGACCTGGGCAGTCACATGGAACCTACACTCAGAAGGACCCTGCTTTTGGTTTCACCCTCTGTTATCAATGTATGGAAATTCTGAATACTTTTTTAATAAGAGGTCCTTTACTTTACTGTGCACTGGGGTTCATGCGTTAGTTGCCTCTAGCTCTGAGAGGTTGGGGTTGAGGTAGCAAAGAGTAGCTGTGTCCTAAAGAACTGACTTCTAATACCTTCTCTTGCTTTCTTTTTTTGAGAGGACCTCACACCACTGGCTCCTGGAAACCTTCTACTTAGAGAACCTCCCCAACAGATCAGCCACGCTGGGATTTTATCTTCATTTTAGTACCAGTGATAGGGTTACCAAGAAGCTCTGGTAAGCTCTGGTAAGCTCTGCTGAGTGAATGACAATGATGACCTATTGCAAGAAAAGCCCAGTCACACAGATTCAACCATATCTCCATGGAGGATGCATTTATTCTCTTCCATTCTCCTATGCCAGTTTTGAACTTCCATTATAACACTAAGCTATATTCTATTCTGAATCACAGTTAATCTGCATGTCTGTTCTCTATTTCCTAGCTTGTGATAGTATAAGGACAGAGACCCCAGCTGCCTTCATTACGCTATTGATAAGAGTAATAACAACAACCAACATTGATTTATTTGCTATGTGCTCTGCTCCAGGTACTGCTTTACACACTTTGCAAGCTACTTATGTCTCTAAATAACTGCATAAGGAAGAGTGTCTATTCCCATTACAAATGAGAAAAGTAAGGCAAAGGGTGAGTAAATAAATAGATTCGATAAACAGGAATCTATCATCCTGACCATGCTCTGTTATCCTAATATCCGCAACCTTGCCTTTAGTATCAAAGGTAATAGAATCATCTAGTTTTACAGACAGAAGCTCTTTAGCAACAAGCAAACTGGATCGATGAGAGATGAAGTGACCTGTACAACGTGACACAGGAAATCAACTAATTGAACAAATATCTATTGTGTAATCAATCAATATTTATTAGTCTTGCCTTTTACTCACAGTTCTCCCTATTTGCCACTCAGCCCTATGTAAATGACACAGGAGCACTCAGAATCCCTTCTGTGCCTTTTATTGTTGCTTATCTCCAAATCTGCCCTCTTGTTTGCTTTTTTGTGATGTTGGGGTCTGGACTGTGCAAACCACACACCTGCTTTATCATCTACTAATGTAGGGTGGGGGATGGGGCAGGAGTTCCTAGCAGGCTCTACCAAGAGGGGGCGCTAGAGAGCGCCTACAAGGGTGGAGGAAGGGGAAGGGCTATGCTGCTGCCTCTCAGTTTCCTTTGCTTCTGCAGCAGCAGTGGAATCCAGTTTGCTGTTTTGTTAACACTTGCAAAACCAGTGTCACCACACCAGCTCAGAGAGGCCAGCATATGACAATGGCCCCCTGTGAGCATCTCCCCTGAAGTTGGACCCCAGCACCAGCTGAGCAGCAGCTCCTCTCAGAGATTCAGTGTTGTGCAGGGGTAGCAGGTAGGTCTTATTTAGGTTTCTACATTTTGATCATTCCAGCCCCTTCCCTTTGCACCCTCACCCCAGGAGCAGTAGCTGCCTTCTGTAGGTGGAAACTGGTGGTATGTTTCACCTTTCTAGGTCGTCGGTACATAGCACTTATTTATTAAATTCCCTCCGGTAAAGGACTTGAGTTTGGTATGGTCAACAAAGAAGTCACAATGTTCTGCCCAGCTTAGGTGTGGCTGATAAGCATAGGTGATGGTGTCAGAGCCTCTGTGCAGAGCCATGAGCACAGACTGTGTCAACTCCCAGTGCTATCTTGGTTAATGAGCAAATCTATGTAGTGGTGGTAGCTCCACAAAGGGAAGTAGCTGTAATTTGCCAGAGTGGATGAAAAAGGCCCACTGTAAGGTCAAGGCATCAATCAAAATATGTTTCATAATTACAAATCAATCCAGAAAATGTTTCATAATTACAAATCAATCCAGAGAGAAGCCTCAAGTCAGTCCCTCCGTGGTGGAATTTATTTTCAAGTTTTTAAGAATATGAGTTTTAAAACAATGCAGTTCATGATAAGTATTTGAGTTCCTATCAACTTTTCTGCTTGCTTCACAGTCTGAATGAGTTACTGGGCTAGACAGGGGTCCAGGAGGGTCTGCAAAGGCCTGCTCACCCTGAGCCTTGGCCATGGGCCTGGTTGTTTCCTCACATTTGTTTCCTCACTTGATGTGGGGCAATCGATGAACACTAGAAGGGAGTCAGATAGTGAAAGTTTAAGCCAGGCTCTCCATGAGTCCTGGGCCAAAGCAATTCAGCTTCTCAGGATAAAGAGGAACCTGAAAGTGAGCCAGGTGAGAGAGAAAGAGGGAGGATGAGCTGAGCAGGGGGCGAGGATGCACATGAAGTGCTGACATTTGCAGGAACTTCCATGCATGTTCTGAATTTGCTCTTTCATATGAAAACAGTTAGCTCCCACAGTCCAGACTAAGTTTTGGCATTGGAAGCCAAACTACGGCCTGACTTGGCTCCTCCTTCCCTTTTTCTGTACTTTGCAGGTTTGCCAGGTCTCTGGAATCTGATAAACTGGATCAGCAGAAATCCAAGGAGACAAGAGGCTAGGTCTTGCCTTTTTCCCCTTGCAGGGCATCCTCCCTCTGACCCCCAGCTTCTCCAAGTCAACAGCACATTGAACTACATCCAAGGCCAGAGGCATAACTCAGTTGTTTAGGCCTGGATAGAGCTGGCAAAATCATAGGATGAAGCACAGGATCTCGGAGATCCATTTGTTCAGCTTATTTGATAAATGATTCTCAGAAGGGTAGTCAGTACCTGTTGGAGTACATGAGAACCAAGAGAGAAATGAGAAGAGAGGAAGAATGGAATTCCACTCTCTTCTTTTAGGCTGGAGGAAAATTAGTTCCGAAAGACTAAATGATCTGTGATAATCAGTGGCAGATATGGGTTGGGAACTTAGATTTCCTGACTTCTAGAAAGGTCTTTCCATTCTATAACTCTGACACAGTGTGAGTGAACTGGAATCATATTGTCCCTGCTGGTGCTGCTTATTCTTTAAAGAGAATAAAAGACTTTGGGGGTAGTGGGAGATATAGCTTGGTTGGGCCTACAAGTGCCCATTGGCTTGGCCCCAAGCCCAGAGTGTCTTCATATTCATAAGTCTTATGTGACTAACTCAGTTGCACCAGCATGCATGATTCTCTCCAGTCTTCAGTTCTGACTGAGACCACAGGAGAACCAGCACACACACAGGTAGGTGATTTCAACTTAACCTGTTGTGTGCTTTGATTGAAAAGAAGCCTGCATTTCTAACCCAGAACTCCAGATGAAAAAGACAGGCATATCCAGCTAACAAATGTTTCTTCTCAGTGAAGGGGAGAAAGAAACTGGGAATCAAAAAGACATGAGCTAGGTGATCAAATGATCCATGAATGAGAATTTTTATTAAAGGGCCACCATGTACCACCATCAGACTTGGAGAAGGCCTTGTCCTCACAGAATTTACTCTCTGACTGAGACAATGAAATATAAGCACCTGTAAAAGCAGATAACAGTGTATGGCCCTATGGTATTTCTCTCTAGACTGGTGAGGTCAGGGAAGGATGTAAGAACAAGTGTTAGTTTAGAAATTTTGAATGATACAACTGCAGTGTTCAAAGGAGATGAGAGCTTGAGCAAATAAGCCCATTTTGTGTTGCTCAAGAGAGCAAAGGGTAGCAGGAAGGCATGTTTGGGCTCAATATAAGGAAGGGTGTTTTAATAATCAGAGCCAGCTAAAGTGGAAGGACTGGCTGCTTAGGCACAGGCCTCTTCATCATCAGATGGTGCAATCCCAGCTGTCACAGATCCAAGAGAAGGTGGCCCAGTTTGGAGTGAGAGATTGTTTCAGATGACCTCGGAATTCCCTTCTTTGCAACTCTCAGAGCCTAAGATTCCTATGGGAAAGGATTACACTGCCTGTGGAAGAGAAGCCAGTAAGTGCAATGATAGCAAAAAAAAAAAAACTGGTGTCATTTCTGCAGCCTCTACCTCTTCCACTGATAGCTGGAGAAGGTGATACCTGCCTGCCTAACCTAGGGAGCTGCTAGAGGGATGAGAAGGGGGCTAATTGCACAAATAATACATTCCTAGGAGGGAATATTTAATAGAGATGTGGGTTTGTGGCTGGTAAAACCTATGAGAAAGAGGCAAGGCTTTGGAGTGATAAGTCCATATAGAACTATATATGATATTATACTAGTAACTGTTAGAGATTGAGTCCTTACAATACACCAGGCATTTTAACACCTTAGTTACCCTCCCAACAACCCTGGAAGTAAGCAATATATGCCTATTTTACAGGTGAATCTGAAACCCACAGAGTTTATACACTCAGCAGGGAGTGCACGCTGATTTTGAGTCCTTATTCGTGTGACTTCAGAGCCTCAACTCTTGACCAATATGTGGTTCTATCCTTGACATGTCCACACGCATGACCTGGGCCTAAGATGGAGTCAGATCTAGTGACCTGGCTAGAGTTCTCTTACCTTGACCACATGTAGCTTGGGCAACAGATTGCAGTCGGCCAGTGTCAGATCGTCCCCATCTAGGAACTTGCGCCGTGACCCCTTGTCTTCGTCCCCAAAAGTGTTGCTGTCGATCTCCTCTGGCAGAGGGGTGTTCAGATAGTCATCTAGTTTCTTCAGCACCTTGGTCAGGCCTCTTTCAAGGGCTGGCAAGGAACAGCAAAAGAAGTGTCTTTAGTCAAACTTCTTAACACTAGATACAGACACAGGGTCTTCAGGATAAAGCAGTGTATTCCTCAATTTGCACCTAGGCTCCCTACCCATTACGGGACACCTGGGAGCCATTAGCAGCATGCAGAAGAAGGGTTTAAATGGTCTGAGAAAGCAAAACTTGACCAAACAATAAACACTAGTTCATCTTTCTTTTTGGAAAAAATATATAGAAATCAAAAATTTAATAGCATTTATCTCCAGAAAATGCAATAACAATAGTCAAAGTTTCTCTTCTTATTTTGCTTATTTATATTTTGCCAATATTCCACAATTAACCCACATAATCATTTTGTAGAAAGATAGGACTATAAGTAAACAACAATAGCATAGCAGTCCTGGGACAGAGGTCTGCAACAGATATTATGAAAGCATGAACTATGGCTAACCCAATTTGAGCAGGACATGGCTTATAGGAGGAACTGGCAAAGGAAAGCAGGTGGCCCCATTTGGTGTTGCCCCCAAAGAACCAATGGATATCAAAGAAGTACTTGAGTTTAAACCAGAGAAGTTTGTTCTAAAAGTCAGAGCTATCCAAAATGGACGGACCTGTGCAACAGGCAGTAGGGTCCACCCTATATGAACAATCACAGCTGCATGGAAACCTGTCATGGTTACAGCTCAAAGAATGAACATCCAAAGGAAGATTATATGGCAGGGGACTTTTCCAATCTTGCCTATCAAATACTTCATTTATTTGATAAGAAAAGAGCAAAACACTCCAAAGAACAATGTTTGGAAGTCACCATCATTCAGAGTCATTTCACAAGGCACCACACAGTCCCAGAACTCTACTGAAACTCTCCACCTGAGATCAGAGAACAGAGGTGGAGGAAGTGACTGGCCAGAACTTTGACCACTGCAGCTGCCCATCAGCCCCACTCTTAAGGGCTATTGATCCCAGACTCTGATTTAGAGCCTGACCCAGATATAATGGGAATCAGCCCTCATGTAAATTCCAGCAGTTCGAAGGGGGCTGTTGACCCTCGAGGAAGAGCCCAGGAGACTCTACTCTTGTTCAGATTTTCCCAAATGTGCCTTCTGTTAAACACTCCCCACATAACCCACGTTCATCATTTCATAGAAGAGCTTTTGTTTGAGACAATGAAATAACACCAGCCCAAGATAAATCAATTGAAAGCTTAATAGAATGTTTGAAAACAAGCTGGAGGTCGGACACAGTTTCCCAGTACTGCCTTCTCTCTGGTGTGGCATTTGAACTTGTACTTCATCATCTGCTTTGTGTTTCCAGATGGGAAGAATAGAGCAGGCAGGACTGGGAAAAAATGCTTGTATTCCCCTTAATAATTGTCTAGACTGGGATGGGGTTGCAAGCCTATTCAAGGGCAAAGCAGAGGGTGGGTACTCAACAATACTCATTATACTCTTCCCTGCCCACCCCCAACAAAGCATTGTGATTTAGATTGGAGGGTTTTTCTTTTTTTTTTTTTTTTTTTTTTGCTTCCTCAAACTGCTCTACCCCTTTCAGTTGTAGGGATTATGACAAAATCTTGATTATAATGGAGAAAGGAAAAATCAGATAGAGTGCCTGTCAAAATTTGACCAACTAATATCATCCTAGGGTAAGAAAGAGATGATGGGAAATGAGACAATTGCAGGTTCTAATTCTGAATGCCCCTCACACACCTGAGATCACTGCACAAATCTGTGTCCAAGTCACCTAATCTGGGAACTATCATGAAATGGATAAAGGGAACTAGAGTAGCAACTGAAGTTCCTTGGAAGCACAGGAGCTTCTGGATAAATTTCAGCAATCTCTCTAGTGTAAAGTTTGGCAATGGCCCTGCATGCCATGTGACATACAGGTAGACATGTCCTGAAGATATCCTCCATTAGTCCATTTCATCACTGACATTTGTGTATTTTTGATCAGGAAAGTGAAAGTCACAGCTGGTATAATCATGGAGAGGAGGAACTGAGCCAGCATGGAAGGGCCCTGTGGCCTGGAGCTAACTCTGTGTTTCAATCTGACTCTGCAAAGCTGCTGAGGTTTAAAGCTTCAAGGTCCCTTAAATGCATGGGTCCCTTCCAAAGCCTTGAACTTGATTTTTAAAATTCCTTTTTTTTGTATTTATTATATTGGCTTTGAACCCAATGGATCCTGGAAATATCCTGATCCTGGCACTTACTGAGTGTGACCTTGGACAAGTTCTGTCAACTTCAATGAAGTTCAGTTTCTCTTCTCAATGGCTGGACTCAAGATCCCTAACTTCCATTAGGTCATTGTGAGGATAAACTCAGATGATACAGGGAAAGCGCCTCACACAGTGCCTGGCCACACTGGGGCATCCGCTAATGATGCTCTTGCTATTGCATAACGACCTGTGATAGAGGTCATCCTGCTCTCTGGCCCCTGCCCTTACTCTTGGTCAGCATATTCCACAAAGATTCAAGATGAAGCAGAGAATGAGAGTCTGAAAAGCTCCAGTTCTGAGGTTTAGTTCACAGAGGAGGAAATCAATGGCTTCTCTTACTGATTCAATGTACAGCCACAGCCTTGTCCCTTACACCCCCTCAGTGTCCTTCTGGTGACAAGCTGTGCTGAGAGGCAGAGCCAGAGTAGAACCGTCACAGCGCGCCTGTGCCAGCGCACACACTGAGGTTGATGTTACATAGCACTACTATATTATCGAATAACAGATGCCAGCACCAATACTTTTTCTGCCAGTTCTTTTCCTTCCTACCTGCCAACTCATTCCCCTGACCTTGGCTCAATATGGTATCCATAGAATTTAATTATCTCTTTTGGCTGACGGCACCTAGGTCGTGAATCCACTGGTGCTGAACTTTCTGCTCTGGGGGAGGTGAAAGAAACCGGAGTGACAAGATGTTAATTCCTTGTTGGCAAGTGAAATCCTCCTTGCAAAAAAACTTCCCCTGGGTAGCAGGATGGGGTAACCCTCAGACCACAGTAAGCAAGCCTGAGGTCAGGGGACCCCAAGACTAAGGATCACTAATGTTCCAGGCACGTGATGGATACCCAGTCCTTTTACTGCTTTCTTCTCCTCTCTACCCACCCTCCCCATAAAGATTTATTCTGTACCACACACAAATGCACTGGGTAAAATATGTGATGAGGAAACAAGGGGAATAGTTCATAAATATTCTCAGCCATATGCAAACAATCTCAAATTTATTTTTCTCTTTTTTAAAGAGGAAAAAAATCCACCCATTCCATGATCACTTCCAGATTCATTGAGGTTGATATTACATAAGACCCAATATTGTTTTCTCATCGTAGAGAAATAATGACTTGGAAACGGCAATTTGAGCTAAGAAAATAATACACTCTTAGCAGGGCATGGAGGCTGAATGGGGATCATGGAGCCAAGACTATAGCTCAGCCTGCAAGGCTCTTGCAAGAACGGCTCAGCCCTGGCTTGCTGGCGTGCTGTGTGCGGCAGGGGGCTGACAAGCAAGCAGCCATGCAGACCCCTTGGGGCTCAAACTTCACTTGGGGTGGGCCAGATGTCAAAGGTGGTCTTTGAAAGAACAGGGACAGCTCTGTGGGCTCAGGTTGCTGTGCTCTCGGCTTACTCCGGGTGGTTTTTCTCTGGCATGAGATAAGAACTTGCAGAGATAAGAGCCAGAGACCCACCTCTGACCATCGTCTCTGGCCTGGTTGGGAATCTTTTTAACTCTCCCATGAAGAAGAAGTTGTAGCTACAGGGGACTGGTCCCAAATGATCACTCTGCTCTGCTGTGTTCCTCTTTGTTCTTATCCTGTTCCCCAGCATCAGCAAGAAACACTCACTAGATTTCTGAAGTGGACCAGAGATGTTTATACCACCTAGCATGTAAATATACAAAGACACTATTGAGATGGGGATTATCATTTATCCCCAATTAACAGATCAAGAAATTGAATCTCGGACTTATCCAAGAGGCATACACACAAGCAAACTGTCCAAATTACTCCTGGAATGTGCAATGAAAATGTACCTTGCTTTGTTTTTAACTGCTGCAGCCTTCCTCACAAGCTCTCAATCCTTGAGTAATGGGATAAATAACTTTAATTTAGTTCACTCCTGATTATAACCTAGTCTGATATAATCATGTAAATAGGCCCTCTTGAGAGTTCTGTCTTTTGTATAAAGTGCTGGTTTTCTCAGACAGCCTCCTTCCCTCCTGCTCTTGCTCTGCATAGGAGGGGGTGGTGCAGGAGGAGCCTGTGACTCATGGCACGGAGGAGACTCAAGTCCTGGAATCTATGGGGTGGAGGCTTTGGGGAACTCACACAGGTCCCATGTCATCCCTCTTCTCAGGTGTGTGAACCTCCAGTTTCTTCGGGAATAACTATGGGGACGTTGATGCTCTGGTGGTGCCTGAGGTAGGCTGCATGCCTCCCTCCCAAAGCCTGGAAATGCACCCAAGCACAGTGGCACTCGGGGCTCCCCAGACCTGTCTCTGGTTCTTTGACTCCACTGCCTTTCTCTCTCCCTCTTTGTCCAACCACCTGGGCTTCCCTTTCCATTTTCCAAAGTCAAACAGTCTACAACTGCAGAGCAATAAGCCTCCCTATAGCTGAGTCCCATGTGAGTCTTCCATGGTCCTTGAGCTAAAATTGAGAGAGAAAGGAATTTAGAATATTTTGAGACAATAGCTAGACTTGCGAGGTTAATGTCTTCTTGGAAATGCTATTTCAGTAAATCAAAAATTAAATATGAATTCCTTTTTCTTCCTTAAAATTCCTTCTATAGAAATCCTCATTGCTCATAGGTTGATGGATGCCAAGGTTCAGATTAGAATCACGTACTCAGAAAGGGGAAGAGAAAAATGCTTTCAAAATAGAAGCCCTTTAAATAAGTAAGGAGCAAAACCAGGATTTAGAAGCAGGCTGTTGGATTCCACTTCTTTCACTCTGCAATTCAGTCTCTGGATGTCAAGGACTGACTCGTTGCTTCTTGAGGGTCCA